TTAAGGGAATAATTTTTGTCACAATAATTCAATGACTAATTATTTCTATGCAAGGAAAGTTTCTCCGTTAGTGGCTCAAACCAGTAAATTTCTCGTTTAACATCAACGGGCGCAATTTAAGCAATTCATCCTAATTTTCATCAGCGGAAATTTGTAACTTCCGGCAAATCCTTGAAAAAGTTTGGTGGAAAATTAAGTGTCCCTTGTATTATCCGAAAGTTTGAAAGCCACTGCTGGACTCGACGTCTGTCGAGATGATCTGCGAGGCGCCATGTAGCCGAGCTGGCTTCAACCATCTCTTTCACTCCTGTTTCAGTGCCCAGTTTCTTGTTCATCTATTCTTCTTTGTTTCCATCTTCCATGTCGTCGTTACCTCATCCTAGTCCTATGTCCTCTCTGCCGAGTCAACGAGAAAACCACCACTCTCATTTCTCACAATAAAGTTGTTGATGGCAAACACCATGAGCCAGGTCTAAAGAATTTTTGGAAAATCGATTTTTCCAGTTAGAGAATTTCCGCTATTTTTTCCTTCTCTAAAAAGTTATTAAAGATCCGCTAATTTTAGGCCTCCCTTAAATGTTCTAAAACCTTTCTTTTCATGTTGTAAACACAAACATAATCATATTAACTCATGGTGAAGATACAAGACCAAAAAATTATCTTCTTAAAAAGTAGAATTAGAGTTGCCAGGAGCCATTTCTCGAAGTCTTATTATGAAGGACGTGTCTTGATTAAAAAAAAAGCAGAAGCTAATCAAGTAGAGTTGCTAGAAATTCCACAGTAACTAGTGTTTTGTCGCGTGTCATGCTTAGCAAGTTTATCCTGGGGCGGAAAACTTTGAGAATGTCAATGTGAGCGTGAAGGGATCAAGCAGAGTAAAGAGGGTGAGCAAAAGAGAGAGAGAGAGAGAGGGAGGAAAGGGTAGATACCAAAACTTTTCCTAGTACCGGAAAGATAGAACTTCCTGGTTACCAGACTCTAGTGCTCCCAACAATCTCCCTGCTCATCATTCTGCTGAACGATGAAGAAAAAAAAAGGAGAAACACAAAAGAAAATTTGAACGAGTAAAGGAAAGCATCAGCAAGTAATGCTTATACTGAATTATTCAAATTGACCTTCTGAATGATTTGAGAAACTTTTTTTTCCAAAGTTTCTCCTGCTCTAACGATCACAATAATATATGCAATAGAAATCGAAAGGGAAGTGAATTTCCACAATAGTAAATAAGTACCTCATCTTTAACCATTGAAATAAATTTCATTCACTGTAAATGTATTCCAAAAAGAATATCCCTAGATCATGGAGTTCTAATTAAGTATGAAATTCGGATTTTATTTTGAAATTTGACATTGTGTTCTTCTATAATAGTGGTAATTAATTATCAACAGTGCATAATTTTTATCCCTAAATTAAGGGGTTACGCCAACCTGAAATTTTCAAAATATTGAATTTTTTTCTTGCTTAATTTCAAAGTCTATATTCTAATGAGTATTTTGAGATGTCTCCGAAAACAATGTCTCAATAATTACGAAAGTTATGTTCATTAGAAGTCAGCGCGCTGAGAGCTGCTGGAAGCCGTTTGCGCCTTCTTCTTAACGATTTTCCACTTTCGAATGGTCTAGGGGGCCCTTTCATGATTTACGAAGGGTACTACAGTCGGGTCCCCATACTGTTAGATTCCAAACTGTTATGTCCTCAGTAGTGTTATGATTTTGCATAACCTCCAAATTCAGAAGTGTTAGGTGACGTCACGTTACGTCACTAATTTTCAGGGCCGTATTCTTAAGACAAAGGAAAAGGGTGCATATACTTCTAGGCCAAACTTGAGGTGTATATATTTACGTTCCTGAAAGGTGCGCAGTAAGCATAATTTGAGCACATAACAGAGCTGAGTCTGGAGAAGTGGGAAATTTCTGAAAATGTAACAGTATGGGGACCCGACTGTATTTATTGTATCCCTTCCACTGTAATTGAATTTTGTTTCTAGATGTATTTTGCACCTTACGAAACTTGTCATTCTTTGGCTCCGAGCTACAGAGTAAAGATTGTTGAGTTTTATACGTAAATTTTGATATTAAATAAAAATGTCAAAAACTGTGTGCCCGGGTAGAAAGTATTAAATTTAAAAATCGGACCAAATGCAAAGCGAATGTGCGAAGAAGTTGACCAACGCCGAGTATCCATCGCCAACCTGAGAGCGCAGGAGACGACAAAGGAGGCCAGAAAATTAAAAAGAGCTCAACAAAAGGAATCGGACGACATTCTTTCCATTCTAGGAGAAGAGTATTATGGCTCAGGAATTGTTGATTAATTAAGAAAAAAAAATTTGTTTACTTGTTTCAGACAAAAATTAAAATGCCAATCATGTACACCATCAAGGAGTGCTCCGGAAAAACTGATCCACGCCAATGCTTATATCTCCGCCATTTTTAATTAAAAACAACTTTTTTTTTAATATTTATAAAGCTTAATAGCAATAAATGTAAAAAATTCCTACCTCAAATAGTTTTGTCAAAAAAAATTCCTAAAAAACCATCGGATTTTCATGCGTTCAGGGTGTCGTAACCCCTTAAAATAAAGACCATTTACAAAAACTAGAATATTTCTGCATAACTTTTTCCTTTATTAATATTTGTAATTATGTTCACTGCCTTTTTTAAATTCAAGTGACATTTCTTTTTTTTAAAAAAAAAGAAGAAAATACTCCGAAACATGCCTGTCTCATGCTTGAAGAAGTTTACTGCAGGAATAAAATTGTGGGAAATTTCCCATGAAATGGATACGGACGATTAATTCCGGTAGTGAGTTTCCGGTATTTCCGTACTTGAGTTTTTGCTTCTTTTATTTTGCTCTTCAGCCTCACGCTTACTTTCTCCCCATTTCTTTATTTTCTGTTTCTCAAGATTCATGTACAACTGGTGTTATGAGCTACACACTTATCACCGACTTAACGCAACTCAAGGTTACCGTTCTTTTTCCTTATGCAAAAAAAGGAAGAGTACGGGAAAAATTAAAGTAGCTTTTACTTATTATTATTATTTACTTATTTTACATATACTATTATTGCTAAAGTAGAAAAATTTATAATATATTATAAAAATGTGGGAAAAATGAAAACTAGTCATCATTTTTTTTTAGATCAAACTACCACTAGAAATCAAGTTTTCATTTTAGAAAAAGAAAAACCGCGAAAAATATTTCAACCCCGTTTTTGCATATTTCAGAGAGAAAATTCCTTGGAAATTATTTTTGAGAAGGAGATAAAGTAAACTACATTTATACCAATATTTCTAGACTCATTTCTCTATTCGAATGTAGCAAGGGGAATCATCGATTGAAAGTGGATTTGTAAAGAAGCCAAGACGTTATTCAGTTTAGGGAGTTTGATCTTCTTCTATGGTTTTAAATTTCCCCGAATGTAAATGGAAAACAAATTTAGTCCCCCTTCCACGTAAATAATTATGAGACAATTTCCTTACGAAATCAGAAAATTTTTTCTGTCATTTAACAAAAGAGAATGTTATTAAGAGAAAAACTAACTAATGATAAATACTTATTTGAAATTAGATGGAAATCAATTTCATTTCATCGAAAGATTACAATTTTAGAATGCATAATGAAATTTACTCTGTACAATAAAAGAATTGTCGAGTAATGTTGGTATTAAATGTGTTATTGTTGTTTTTAAAAAAGATTTCCCAAGCTCTAGGGTATTTGTCTCGAGAGAAGCATGAGGGAAATTCAATTTGAATAAAAAGAAGATGAAGGAATAAAATTTATTGGAAGATAGAAAGTATGTCTATAGAGATAAGGAAATGGAAAACGAGGGGGCTTACGAGGTATGAAATATAGACTTAAAGACATTCAATATCGCATGGATCTACAATTGTTTCAAGTAAGACCATACATGGGGCTGCAGGTGGTCGAGTAAGTTGACATGATTCGTCTTTATTCGGTGGTTTAACTCCACAACTTTGGAATAAAGCAAAACGCACATATTTGAGGATTAGAACCATCATCTCCTATCTTTTGTTACGTCTAACTAACTTTTTGTTTCGTCCCAAAAATATGGTAAATAACACGATACTTGTTTAAAATTAATTGAATATTAAAATTTAATTAATATATTATTTTTAAGTCTGGATTTTTACATCCAATAGCTTAGGAACACTTTCTTTTTATTTCTTGTTTTTCATTCAATAAATGTGATATTTGTGGATTGGAATAAATCTCTTACATGCACAGATGACGTAAGAAATCTTTCTGGCAATGGAAAGATTGAAATAAGGTTTAAGGAATTTTTAGAAGAAAAGAATACAGAAAAATAAATTTCACTTTTAAATTTAAGTTGAATTTATCATTCGGTGGTATATATAATTAAAAGTGATGAATTTAACAATCTTTCCGAATCAACTTCTCACTCAGCACTTAATTTCATGTATCAACAGCGCAGCTGTTCTAAATACAGAAAATACAGAAAATTTCACTTTTCTTTTAATAAAAATAAAAGATTAAAGTTGAAAACTGGACCGGACATTCTCTGTTGAATATTTGGAAAGGTGGATAAGAGGTACATGATTTCCGGATAGTATTTCGGATGACGGTAATTTTCAATGTCGTCACTTATGTTGGTCGGAGAATTCTTGATTTTATAGCTTCTAACGTAAATTCCAGCGAGTTTCCAGACATTCGCGAAAACATCCGGAAGGTTCGTGGTTCAACCCCTTTTGACAAGGGAAGTGTGCGCAGTTAAATTTCAGAAATTGAAAATTAATCTTTGTCACATTCAAAGTGATTATCGTACAATTAATAATTGCAGTCACTAATTGTGTAAAATGGTATTTTGTCGCGTAGAATATTAATGAAATAAAATAGTAAAACAAAATCCAAAATTATAATCATATATTACCGTATATTAGTATATTATCGTCTGTTGGAGAACCTAAAATATCCGGTGCTGTGATAATTGTGTTTATTGGTAAAAAAAATAATGTACTCACCAATTTTTACTATGGGGGGTAGAGCTTCGACGGTAAAGGTTAGTTGAATTAGCTGAAGAATAGAAACAGTGGCTAGAAGGCAGCCCAGATTTTTCTTCATAGCTCATCTCGGAAAACTACCTTTCTCAATTAGTTGCTGCAGATGATGTGAAGATCTGAATAATAAGAGTAATTAAATTTTTATTATTTTTGCAATTTAATGATGAGGCAAAATCAAATAAATACTATTTAATCATTTAATGCCCAGATGGATTGGATCGAAATCGCTTTGATTTCAAAGACCATAACTTTGGCAAAAATTAAAAAATTTTAGTTTTTAAAAATTAAAAATGGCGAATTCAATATGATGGACTAAATTTTAAAAAGTTGAGCTAAGATTTTGGGGACTCTGATTACGAAAATGATGTGTGTTTTTCAAAATTATAAGTTATATTGTAATCATTGCATGCACTTGAAATTCAATTCTAGTGGGTTTTTGAAGTTGCTGATTCTGAAAAAATGGCATCAGTGCTTTGCTAATTGTTTTTAAAAATTTTGTCAGCCATATTAAATCCACCATTTTGTATTCTCAAAAACTGACATCGGATTCGTAATTAGCGATCCCAAAAACCCCCGAGTAACAAGTTTCATTCAAATCCAAACAATTTTTAAAAAATCATCCGCCATATTGGATCCGCCATTTTGAATTTTTCAAATTTTGCAAAACTGACATCGGATTCGTAATGAGCGACCCCAAAAACCCTTAACTACAATGGTTGATGAACTTCATAGAAAAATTGTTACTATAATGGTCTATTTTTGTTCTCCTTTACTTTGCTTTATGCTTTTAAAAGAAATTATCCTTAAATAACAACAAATAGCAAATATTCGATCTAATGAAATATATTTAAGTGATAAACTAATATTGTATATCGTTTAATGAGAGAATCGTGAAATTGATACCTGGAAGTCTTATGTTTCAATTATTTTTAAAAATTGGTTTGTGACTATATTAATACAGCATTCTAATTTTAAGTGAAAATTTTGTTCATAAAATATAACATTTTTCTTTTTCTGATGTATTGCGGTTTATGTGACTGTAAATAATTTGGAAAATACATTTCTACAGATTTATTCGTGCGTACATGATACATTAGTCTAACACTGCAAGATCCACCATGCATACCCTCTATCTCCACTCCTCGAGAACTGAAATTTGCTGACCCATATTCGAGGTTGCCATGAATTCTCAGATTCTGTTTAGAAGTGCTACTATGATGTGTCTTGTTGTTTCAATTGTTTAGAAACTAAATATTCATGAACAACAACTTTCAAAAACGAAAAAAAAAATCTACTTTTACATGAAATTCAAAACTTGGAAATTTATCAGAAAAACAAAATACCATTTTTCTTCTCAATAAATAAGAAAAAAATCTCATTTTATTTTCATCCTGAGGGGTATTAATCTGAAAAAGATTTGCCGCGAAAATAGTTTGCGAAGGAAAAAAAAAAGAAGAAAAGAGTAAGAGACGTTGAAAACTATCAGAAAGTCAGTTCGGTAAATGGATTGGCTCGAGTGAGAAAATTTGTCTGAGGGATTTAATTCAATTTGTTTGTTCCTTTGTATATATAGTCCATTTGAGAATGTACATTTGTTTGTGTTTTTTTTGTCTGTACCGATAAAACAGTTTGCGAGTATAAGTTTAACCCAAGTAAATATTGAACGTCGACTTTATTTCTCAGAGAATGTAATTACAATTAAGTCTAAGAAAAGTGTCCAATTAAACTGTTTTTCATTCTCCCCCCTCCCCCTTCTCAATGTGTATAAAAAGAAGTTACGCAGTAAGACATTTTAACGGGACTAAGAATTCAAAACAATTAGAAGAGAAACTTTACCACTTTTATTAAAATCCTCGAGTGTACCCATGCACACAAACAAATACCATGAGAGATTTTTTTTTCCAAGAAGAATTAATGACAGTTTATAAACTCGCTTTTGGTGAATGAGGATGCGTTTTGTAATAGCTCCTTATCCGAGTTACGAATGCTGCTAATTAGTTAATCTATACTATAAAAGTTGAAATAAAAATAAATGTTGGCCATTGAGTAAGAAAAAAAGGGAAAGAAATACTTTCTCTTTCATTTACTAATTTTTTCGCGACGAATATCCAAAGGGTAGATCGTTAAACGAGAAATTTCTTCCGATTCATTTTCCGTCGAGTGCAGCTTCCCCCTTAATCGTCGCACTTTATACGACGATAATTCCTTCTGACCGTAGAATCGCCTTAATCACGAGGTTAGATTTTCTTATTCGACTTTTTTCTTTTCTTTTAATTCTTTTTCTCTTCTTTTTTAAAGGGTGAAAAAAGTCTTTTTACTTTTTTTATTTCTTTGCAGAAAGAAAATTTCTTCTCTTCCGTTGTCGTTTCATTCGATCCACCTCTCTGCTCTCACTTTTACACTCCAGTCACTTATTCCTTGATTTATCACCTAACCAGAGCAATAACATTTTTCTTTTTTGAATTTTTACTTTAATCTCCACTATTTTTGCACCTCTATTAAATTTTATTGGTAATTATGCAGAGGAAGGGTTTTTTTCTCAATTTTTGCTAATTTTTGGTGAGTTCTTTCTGCAAGAGCTTTCAATCAACTAGAAAATGAAAAATTCGTTTGTAGAGGGAAGGGGGCAGGAAAAAATTAATTTTAGGATAGCTGGGGATGAGAAACAATTTCAAATTTATTGTTTTTTGGGTCAAATTACCGACTGCACTTCTTCTGCATAATAACCAAATTTTTGTGCTACTAGTATTTCTCACCTGTCTGGGGATAGATTATGTAACTTCATTTTACTTTTACTCTCGCTTTAGTTTTACTTCACTCTTTTCCACTCTCATTCACTTCACATTCACTTTCACTTCACTCTCACTTCACACTCACTTCACTCTCACTTCACTCCCACTTCACTCCCACTTCACTCTCACTTAACTTTCACTTCATTTTCACTTCATTTTCACTTCAATCTCACTTTACTTTGACTTTGACTTTACTTTCACTTCACTATCACTTAACTTTCACTTGACTTTCACTTTACTCTCATTTCATTCACTTTTACTTCAATCTCACTTTACTTTTAATTGACCTTTACTTTACTTTCACTTCACTCTCACTTCATTTTCACTTTAATCTCACTTTACTTTTACTTCACTCTCACTTCATTTTCACTTCAAGCTCACTTTACTTTGACTTAACTTTTACTTTACTTTCACTTCACTCTCACTTGACTTTCGCTTTAATCTCACTTCATTCACTTTTACTTGTCTATCACTTTACTTTTACTTGATTTTCACTTTACTTTCACTTCACTTTCACTTCATTTTTACTGATTTAACTTATCCTCAAAACTTACTTATTAAGACAATTAGAAATGTAAACAAAGTTAAATACAAAAAACTGAAGTGATAATGAAAGTGAAGTAAGAGTAAAGTGAGAGTGAAGTGAAAGTTAAATGAGAGCGAAATGAGAGTTTGGTGAAAGTGTAATGAGATTGAAGTGAAAGTCAAGTAAAAGTAAAGTGAAAGTGAAGTGAAAATGAAGTAAAAATGAAGTGAAAATGAAGTGAAAGTAAGAGTGAAGTAATAGTCAAGCAAAAGTAAAGTGAAAGTGATGTAAGAGTGAAGTGAGAGTGAACTGAAAGTGAAGTGAAAGTAAAGTGAAAGTAAAGTTGCAGAATCGACGTCCCGAAGCGGACACAAAAATGTTATTATTAGTAATTTTTTTCCTATACTTTCATAGTGAAACCAATACTGTGCGAAATTTTTGTACAATTCTGACTATTTTCAAAAGAAAACAAACTGCGGAAAACTTTATAAAAATAAAAAAAGCCGAATTATCAAAATTCTACACTATTTGAATTTATTTACCCAAATATTATTTCAAATCTCGATTAAAATTAAAAAGTTAAATAAATAAATTTGCTTTGCAGATAAAAATCATTTTCACTAATTTTCTTACTGACAACAGTAAATACAAAAGAATTTAATCACATCATAAAATATGTGGTTTTAATACCCAATGTATTATTGATAATTACAATAGCCAAATAACCGCAATTCGTCAATAATATTCCGTTAAATGAAAATAGTTCACACTCATTGATTCGTATCCTAATAATAATTTCCCAGCTTTTTGAATATTACCCCAATTTTGAATTTACAGAGCATAAAATAATCATTTGAACCACTTTATCACTTAATTATTTAATTACACTTTGGAGCAAATATTTATCTTACTTATTATCTCTATAGCTTGTTTTTAATTTTTATAATTTAGTTCAAAATGTTAACACATTAAAAAAAAATAATAAATTTAATTTTCCATTGATTAATTTTGTGTGAAATTTGTAACTCTCTCATTAGATAAACGTTTAAAAATAAATCTAATGACAAAAAAACAATTATTTCATGAGTAAAAAAAACAGTGCCAGAAATAGAGACAATTTGATATTCAATCAAACTTTCAGATAAACCCTTAATTCACTGAGCATGATAGTGAAATTAAATTAAAAATTTTATTGTGGATGGTAACCTGGGAATTGCTTTTTATTTGGATCAAATTTGGTTTGATTGAGAGATATAAAATAGAATTAAAATAGAGTAAAATGAAATCATCCTTTTTTTCAGTAGTATAAGAGGATTTAATAAAAAAAATTGTTTTTTTATTGTCACGTTATTGAAAAAGAAATATGAAATTTACAATTAATTTTCTTTATTATTTCAATTTAATTATTTAGCTTTCAGGAGCATTCACAGTAATTAACGCAAATGATTTTAATCTGAGGATTATAAAAGAGAAATAAAAGTTAAATGCATTTGAATTGGATTTAAATAAAAAATTACGCAATTAGCATTTTGTTTTCTTTAAAAGAAAAGGAAAATTACCAAAGACGTAATTTGTATATAAACTGGAAAAATGTAGCTAACTAACGATCTTCTTTTATCAAGCTTAAATCTTCAAAGTGTATGAATTCATCAAATTTAAATCTTCAAGTGTGTGAATTTATATTCACTAGTCAAGAAATAATCTCTCTATCATCCTGAGTATTAGGTGAATAATACCAGTACAAAACGTCGTAAACTTGATATAACTAAGGAAATTTAGTCTGCTGACCTTTCACTTGATAAATCCGTTTACACCTGTAGCACATCGTCACACCAAAGTATTCATATCTCCGACATAAAGTTACATTTTATTACTTTCGTCAATTCTATTCATATAGAGAACGAATAACCACAAAATTTGCAATAACAGTGAATTATTAACTAACTGATAGGAGTTATTGTCGTAAAAGAAAATTAAATATTTGAATAAAAAAAATTTCTCTAGTTAAATATAATTTATTTCCGGAAATGCTTCTTTGAAGTGATTACTTGTGATTACTTGTGGGTTGAAAAAAGTTGGGAAGAATAAAAACTGACAAACCGAATAACTATTGGAGAAATGTTTCTTAATTTGACCAAATATCCTGTAAGTTTACTGGAAATTTAACTCAAAAAAATTCTTAGTAGATCTCACTCTTTTTAACTGGTTTTCTTAATTCAATAAGTCCCCAGTCGAATTAACCAATTACACAGGCCATTTTATTTATTTTTTTTTTATCAAAGTCGTTTCCAATCCATTTTTGTCCGCTAATTACGATCCGCATTGCCAAAATTGCTAAGTACTTTAGGATTTTGAGAAAAGTGGGGGTAAATACGAAGGTTATGAAAAATAAAAAAAAAAGATGCTCAATATATTTGTTCTCTTCAACCTGCCTAATTTGCCTAATTTTATGCCTAATTTGATGTATATTTTAAGGAACTATATGTACAAGACCAAAAAATAGAGGATTTTCAGAAAAGTGGGGGTAAAGACCCAAAAAACGTGTATTTTTAGGGTTTTCAATACATTTTTTCTCTTTAACCTAAAATGTTAGAAAGTTGCATGAGATTTTTAAATTAAGCTTCCTGTTTTCACTTTGACGTCCATTTGTCCAAGACCAAAAAAATATTTTGAGAAAAGTGGGGGTAAAGAACACAAAGAAAATGTTGTTACGTTATTTTTGATATCGGAGTGGTTTCTAATATATTTTGGTTTACTGAACATGATCTCGGGTCCCAAATTGACCTAGCACTTTAGCATTTTAAAAAAAGTTGGAATTAAGACTCAAAAAACGTGTTTTTACCCCCACTTTTCTCAAAATTCTCTATTTTTTGGTCTAGTACATATATGGGTCTTAAAGTATACGTTTAGAACTTTACTTCAAGACATCATGAAAGTCTCTAGAACTTAAGCTTAAAGAGAAAAAATTTATTGAATTTGGTCAGTTCACATTATTCTTATTCTTGGTCATTACCCCCACTTTTTTCAAAATTCTGAAATACTAGTCAATTTTGAGAACTGATATCGTGTTCAGCGAACAAAAATACATAAGAAACGACTCCAATGTCAGAAATAACAAAAAAATATTTTTTTGAGTTCTTTACCCCCACTTTACCAAAAAGTTTTTAGTCTTTTGCATTTGAGTTTTAAGGCGCACTTTTCGAGCTTTAATTTGGAAACCTAGTGGAAGTCTTCAGCATGTCAGGATAAAGAGAAAAAAATATATTGAAAGCCCTCAGAAACACGTTTGGAATGTTTCATTTGGGTTTGGGATGTTACTTTTTTAAAATACAAAATGGCGGATTCAAGATGGCGGAAAAACATGCTAAATCTGTAAAATATTTAATAATACATTTAGAGCAAGTATTACTTTCAGGGGGTAGTAATCTTCATTAGGGGTAGTTTTAAGCAGTGAAAATTGTTTTAAAAATTTAAATTTACTATAAACCGAAAGAAAAAAGTAAAATAGAAATAAAATTCCCAAGGTGATAGATAATAAAACCCTTAAATAATTTTTTTTTAAATAATAATTTTTTAATAATTTAAATTTTCTTATTAATATGAATATTGTTTCTAAAGAGCGCTAATTATTTGTAAAAAAAATCCTGAAAGTATTGCTTTAAAAATTCAATGTAACGCTTTAACAGAAATTTAATATTTCTACAATATTAAACTGTATCAGTAACAGTAAACATTTACACAGATACACAATAAATGAGACAGTTTTAAAATTTATGTCGTTGGAAATAAAAAATGTTTTATGGTCTCAAAACGTTTTCATCGAACGTCATTTGTAGAAATTTAGGTTATGTTGCGAGCCTGTAGTCGATATATCGATAAGTATCGATTTTGCCCAATCTGATTGGTTCACTCCCCCCTTCATTTGAAGCATATTAATTATCAAATCGGTAACCGAGACGCTTATTCAAATGTAAGAATTCTTATTTTTTAATTAAATACAAAAGAATGTAAAGAGCTATTATGAAATTTCATTTTTAGATTGTCTTGAGTTAACCCTTTCGTGCCCCCTGGGGAATTTTTTAAATTCAAAATTTGGACAAGATTTTCAAAAACCCCCGAGTAACTATGAAGCAAATTGAAACAATTTTTGAAAATTTCGCCCGCCATATTGAATCCGCCATTTTGAATTTTTTAAATCTGACTTCAAACTCGTAATCAGTGAACCCAGAAACATAGGAAAACGAAGTGTTGTTAAAAATTATTTACTAAATGTTAATGAAATAAATATTCTATTGTTTAAAATAAATATTACTACTTTTTGTGATTTATTATTTTTTTAATTGTATCAGCACCCATTCGGACTAGAAAGAAAACCGGAAATTAATTTGTTGACTTTTATAAGAATTAGATAAAATTTTCTAATTGGAAAATATATATCCCAGAGTCACGAAAGGGTTAATAATAAATAAATAATAATAATAAATATAATAATATTAATTACAGAATATGTATAATTTAATTATATTAAATAATTACTGTCTGGTAATCAACAATCACAACATAAACATAAAGGCAAATGTAATATGTAATTCGATTTTACAATAATGCAGTTTACAACTTCGTTTTATATGACATCAGAGACAGGAAAAGTAAAGAACTTCGGTATAATGTAAAATTTATTACTTAGTGAACGCAATGAAAGAGTACCTACATCGCTTAATAATCGTATTTTCACGTATGAGATAAATTGCTTTTACGTTGCTTCTCACATTCCATATACATACATATAATTATATATATACACATATCCATTTATGTGCGGTTTGGAAAATATTTACGAAATTAGAGAGAAATGGTTGATGTTGGAAGTCCATGATAATAAAAATGAAGAAAATATAGATATTGATTTGAAAACAGCCATTATCCTTGAGAGTTGTTTTGTTTTGTTTCTATTTTTTTTTCTTCAAGAAAAATATGGATATCAAAGTTTGTTATGATTCTTTGCCTGCATTGATGCAAGTATAAAGAGAAATGCCGGAGGGTATTTAGAAGTAGGAGAAAACGTTTTCTCGCAGGGGCTTCTATGTAGAAAGAAGGGGGAGAAGGGGGGATTTAAATATTCTTTGATAAATGGATAAATATTTTCCCGATAAATGTATAAATGAATGTGGAAAATATTCATTTTCTTTAATATTATTAAACAAATCAGTGAAGTATATAGGAATTTAAAATTGAATATATATTACCCGGTTGCTATTTATAATTTAGGAATTCAAACGATAAATAATTACCAAGTTCGAATTGGGTGATTGGGAATAAAAAGTTCAGTTCATTTTCTTCATTTGTAGGTGAAGAAATTAATTTTGTTCTTGTCATTAAGTCCAGAGAGGAGGTAACAGAGTGAACTTAAATTGGAAATATTTCCTACTAAACCTTGATTAATTTTAATTACAATGCTATTTTTATTTCTAAAAAAAACAAAAGATCTAAGTTTCTTAAGAGCAGAAAAAGGATTAAATTTTTCATATTTTAATTTACAATTAAATTGAAATCGTTAAGGAAATCAGTTTCCAAAGGTTATATAATGATTGTTAGGTATAAAAATGTATGAAAAGTGAACTTACTAAGAGTAAACACATGAGGTGATCGTTCGAAATGTACGTTGAGGGATGGTGAAGAAAATGGTGACAGCGAAGAAGTTAATAATGGACGTACTATTTAAATAGAGTTGAAGAACACAGAAGTTGCGAAGATATGCAATGGTAGATATATGAAGACATTCGATGATGATTTGTTCCAGGTTGTGGTAATGATAAACATAACCTCCAAAAAAAGTGAACTTATCGAGAACTAGGACCTACCCGTGACAGCGGCCAACGCGCGACTGCCCTTCATTCGGCTTGATTCGCGGCTGCTTTCGGAGCCGGCTCGACGTTCCGAGGGTTCCCGAGTGGCTTGTCCTTATCAGAACTTGCAAGCACGTGTTTTAGCGAAGCACATTGCGCAGAAGTAACACGTGGACGCTTAAAGGACTTCGTGGGATTTTATAAGGATTTTAGTCTCACGTTATATTTGTCATTTTTAATCTCACACTCCCAAGTATTATATATGTCGCATGCAAAGTAACATGTTTCTTAAGAGTAAAATATGTAGTTTAATTAAAACTTATATTGAATTTATTGATCGTGTAAGTTGAGAGGTCAACCTCTACCTCAATTTTGCTACTTTACTGTTTATTACAATTACTGGTAATATTACCATCACTGACTTAAGAGAAGATCCTCCTTTGATGTTCCTAAAATTCTGAACGCTCAAATGAACGAATTTTATTTATTTCTTCTTTAAATTTAAATATTTTTATGGAATCGTGACAGCAACGGTAATTCTAGGATATCCTACGCCTACGTCATATAGTCACTATAGTCCTATAGTCGTATCCGGAAATTTGGATTTCCCTAGGATGCCCTCAAGATGGTTTTCGAGTAATCATGGTCACTGTCTTAAAAAATGTAATTTTGAAAAAAATTCGTTTAGGGGACTTACAGTGGGCCCAAATTGAAAAACCCCGACATTAGATCAAAAAGTAATGTAATCCTCTTGATAATTATTACTCAGGAGTTTTCATAGTCGTTGATTGGGAATCCGGCATCGGTTTTTCAAAATTCAAAATGGCGGATCCAATATGGCGGATGACAATATTAAAATTTTATCCGACTCACTTGAAAATTATTACTCGAGGGTTTTCACGGTCCCAGATTACGAATACGGCATCGGTTTCTCAAAATTCAAAATGGCGGATCTAAAATGGAGGTCGACTTTTACAAAAATCAAACCAATTTGCCTAAAACTTTTTTCTTTGAAGTTTTCGGTGTCACTGAAGTTTAATAATAGTTTATTGAAATAGGTTTATAGTAGTTATTTTTTATAAAGTTAAAGAGTGTATTTATTGAACTAAAAAAGAGGCAGATCAATATAATCCATAGAAATCGTAAAAAAAGTTCTAAAAAATAGCTTTATTGTCATGGGTGTAATGAACCCTTAAATAGAAATCATCCAATAAATTCTACAGTCGATATTTGTTGTGTGTGAAGCCATTTATATTTGGCGCATCGGATTCTGAAAAACAATTATTTTAAATTAAAATAAATTATTATTATTTGTATTATATAAATAATAATCGTCAATTTTTAGGGCAAATATAGTCAGCGAAATAATTGCATGTTATTTCTAATACTTGAAATCCATCCGGGGTAAAAATGTAAAATTTAAGATGTTTGTTGTTTAGTTATTTAGATACAGAATAAACCAACGAAAGATGAATTTTGTAGGCCAAAACGAATCATTGAAAGTATCTCATTCAAAGATCCCACTCCAATTAAGTCGCCAAAGCTGCAAAAGAATTAAAATGATAAATTATAATTCGACAAATTAAATTTCATTCAACTTGCGTTGTTGCTCAAACCTGCAATTATGTTCGCGAGTTTCAAATCCGTCGTGATTGTTCCAGGAAATGGTTCAATAATATTTCGTAAATCTGTTTTCTGCCTTATGAATTTTGAGAAATCACGCACTTGACGATCCGTTAAATTTGAATCGACTTGCAATTCACATAAATCATCAGACGATATTTGACGTGTTTGTTCTTTTCTGTTGCATTAACGAGAATATTTAATGGTTTGCCATGATGCTGTGATAGAAATACTGCGATATTCGTGTTTCCCCCTTTGCGATTTAATTCATCCTCAACTTTTTTTTTCAAGAATCCAGAAATTAAATGTTTAGTTTGCTTTGGGGTTTGAATTCTTTCTTGAATATTTTTTAGTAATGCAGTTGTATTGCACTTGTGGATAACACCTTTAGCGCTTTAGCTATTAAAGTAAAACACTTCGAGCATCGCTTAACAATAGTCTTTAAGGGTTTTGAAGTTTTGCTTTTACTATTAACTGTATCGAAGTTTCCTTTTCGAGATCTAACTTCATTACATAAAGTACGATGATAAATATTTCATTTAACGTTATGACATTGAAATACAAAAATAGTTTTTTAAATACTATACAGATATATACATTTAAATGGTGTTTTGGTTACTTTAGTTTTTATCCAGCCCTCTCTAAGGCACTATGTTAGAGAATCTTACTAATTTTGTCAAAGCCTTAATGCTTCTTATAATTAATTTATTTTAAATTTATAGTTAAACACCAGAAGACGAATGACAGTGAACTTAATCATTTTATTTTATTCGCATCTTGTTCCCAGAGATACAGAAATTGAGAAATTGCAATGGTTTCTTATCTATACGATTTCTTTCTTTCGTACCCAGTAATTCATTCCTATTTTTCTTTCATCCGCTCATTTGATTATTCGTTCTTCTATCCACAGTATGTTAGCCTGCGGAAGCATGAAATTCGCATAGTAAAGATAACGACTTCTAAAGTAACGTTCTGATAAAAATTTCAGTTCACTAGCAATTTTCTCGACAAAGACAAGACGAAATTTCTAGGAACAGAGTCTTGCTATACATCTACATAACAGCGACTTCTACATATTTCTCCAACTTATAGCCTTTTTCAATATCGCTCAACGACCGTGGCGTTAAAGAATTAAAGGAATAAGTTTCAAATATATATCCGAAGCACTCCATAAAAAAGAAGAACTTACAATTTTTAAGTTTGGTAATTTTTTGATGAAACAATCTACATAAATTCAACCCAGTTAATTTAAGGAAAAAACTTTCAACTAAAATTTTTTTTAGTTATCATAAAATATGTTTTTAATAATAAAATTCTCTGCGAAAGGAAATAGATAGCCATTCCATCAATATCATTTCAAGAGAAAAGTTATATTTCTCTAGACACACGAAGATGAAACGTATCTATTTTCATGGGGGACCAAAGCCGGATGTATGTTTTGCTATTGATATCTGTGGAGACAGTGGGTACCACAGGGAAACTTAAAATAAAAATAGAAGAAAGGAGAAATAAAAAGAAAAGAAGTGGATCAGCTAGGAATGAAAAATTTAGTTTGAAATGAAAGATAGGTATGGGAAAGGATACACGTTGGCGAAAGGGTATCGTATTAAATTCGAATTTTAGTATCCAGTGTAGGTGGATAAGAAGCATCATAAAGTTTAAGATATTGTACTGAACCCATCGACTGTCCCAGTAAATTAAACGGCCAAGTTGTAGTAAAGCGAGAGTGGAAGAAATTTTCAATATGGCTTTTGGTTTACGATCGTATCGGGCTTCATGATCTTGCATGAATCCTGTTTAATATCAAACGACAATCTTCGAACTAAAATTCTCAACAAACGCATCAAATATTGTTTAAATATTTAAAAGCCAACTTGTAGTTTTATGTATTCTCAAAAAGAAGAAAAATAGTTTTTGTTGAGAATCTTAGATTTTATTGTCCATAAGAGTCTATAATCCTATAATGATTCCATAGTAAAAAGAAAGCTTTGGTCTTGACAAAAGAGGAACTTATTAATGTTAACATTCTAACTTACTACTCAATAATCAAAGGAACGAGTGTAAAAAACAAATCGAAAAATTTAATTTCGTTTAATCCTTTTTTTAATCTGTACCTATACTTTGTATTTTTTCCTTTCTCTTCTCAAATTATTACATTTTGATAGGCGTTAATTAGATTACTGTTTTATCTTTTCAGGATGATTAATTTAATTATCTAATTAGACCCTAAATCTAATTAAATCCAGTCAACGAACTTGTAGACTGCCGGCCTTCGTGACTATGGATAATCTATAGTTTCCACCTAATTGACGCGAACTACCGAAGGTCAGGGTCCTCAGAACTCAAGAGGAACCACAACTTGGAGAAATGCTTGGCGTTATTATGGATGCTTCAATAACGCTCTCAATGTAATTCAACTAATTTAAAAAACTTTAATTATAATTAGATTTATGTAAAAATGTTTTTACAATTCTTGAAAAAAAACTCTAAAACTGATTTCACTGTAGTGATTAGTAAATAATTTGTCACATCCTCGTGACGAATAATTATCTTTCATTGAAATGTTTAAAATTAATGTACGAAATTTAACCCTCTTTTTGAAATAATGGGGTGTTGCTCTTAAACTGAAATTTTTGTGGGTATATAAACCACCCTGTTTTGTGGGACACGTCAGTCTTGTAGCAATCCTGAAGCAGTTTTGTGGACATCTGTATTTTGTCACCCTTCTATTGGGTCCCCACCTGTACGATACAGGAGTTAAAAATTAAATCAATAATAACAATCTAATCCCGAAAATAATAAAAGTGGGTGGTATGAGGTAGTATTCTTTTGCAAAAGGAATCTATAAAAGGTGCCACCCTTGCCGAATTCGTCAGTCCAGGAAACGCCTTCAACTTAACTAGTCCAGAAGTCACCACCGAATCAACTTCATGTCAGTCCAGCGATCGCGACCAAGTTAACTAGTTGTGTACTGTCATCGAATTTGTTCTTCGACTCCAGTTCCAAAAATCTCTTCAAGTACCAAGTGCATTCTTTGAGTCTCGTCTTAGTCAAGTTCATTCAAGAAGATAATTTCTACTACGAGGCACATTTCTATTTTTCGAAGGACTGCATTACTTCGACTTCAACGTCAAATCAATAATTCTGTCACTCCTAGTCTGAGGAGTGTTTTATCTAATTTACATTGACACCTGGACCCTGGACCATTCACTTTGGCTGTCCCTAAAACAATTTAAAGGAAATCTACTGTATTCTCTGTTTCCGCTAGTCAACGACATTTCTTAGACCTCACACTGAAGGAGGTATCGCTTGTTGAGTCTACAACACTAAGAATAATTTTAAAAGGTAACTAATACTTTTAAATTTTTTTCCCATTTAAATTCTCGATTGATTCCACGAGGTTCTAATTTTGTTCCAGTGTCCCTGAAGACATCTGGATCTACTCTTTCTCTCTGATTCTAATTGTAAACGATTCAAATAAAAACAATAATTTAACTTCAATTTTAAGTTTTAATTTTATTGTTTCTCATAATGATTGACCACTTTAAGTAATT